TAGTCCACTCCTATACTTTGCCCATGCCGAATAGGCGAATGGGTCTTAAACAGTATTGTAGCCCGTAGGCTTTGGGAGCGACTTGTAGTCCACTCTTCTTGATTTTGCCCATGATGAAGAGGCGATTGGGTCTTAAGTAGTATTGTAGCCCGTAGGCTTTGGGAGAGACTTGTAGTCCACTCTTATTGATTTTGGCCGTGCCGAAGAAGCGACTAGGTCTTAAGCTGTATTGTAGCCTTTAGGCTTTGGGAGCGACTCGTAGTCCACTCCTGTTGACTTTGCCCATGCCAGATCGCGACAGGTCGGCGCATGTGCCAGGCCGCGTCAGGTGGGCGCCTTAGAGCTACTTAGTTTGTTAGCTCCCTGCATAGTCTTTGAGTTCATAAAAAAAAGGGAACTGTAAAGCGAGAGCTTCAGTTTCTAAAAAGTGAGGACTTAGCTTTTTGTAGGATGAGAACTTAGCTTTTTGTAGCGTTTCCACAGACGACGCCAATTGATGTAACCATTTCTGGTCACGTATTGATTTTTTTGGCTAAGTACCTTGTCGTTTGGTCTGCTCCCAAGTGGCCTGTGACTCAGAGGCTGAAGTGGAGCTCCTTGGTGGTGAACTGCCTTGTGGTGAGCTACCTTGATGAGCTGCTTGGTGGTGAAACCCAACTGCTCCCTGTAGGAGATGATCAGCTCATCTTTGTAGACGGCGGGGGCTGAGGGACCCCTCCTCCCTGTAGGAGATGATCTGCTCATCCATGTAGACGGCGGGAGCTGAGGGACCTGCGAGAACTGAATCAGAAAACCCGAGGGTGTTTACCTGGTGAGGTCACTCCGATGGCTAAGTCAGCACTTAGTAGCGAGCTAAGAATGATATTAGAGAATGAGAGAGCTAGAGAACAGGGGTTACCATCCTCCTTTTGCCCTTGGGGGGGTGAGGTCTTTATATATTGGAGTCCTCGTGGGTTAGGTGGAGCAGTTCTTGGATACCCGCTGTGATGGGACCTGCTTTCGTGTTAGGTGGGGATAAAACCACCAACTGGTAAGGTTGCCCATTTCTGTCTGACTCGCGGAGTGGGTGAATTAATATAGCCATTACAAGTCACAATCCCATAAAATGCGGGGTACGGTGGTGAGCTCCTCGGGATTGTCAGGTTGGCGCTTGTGTCAGGTCGCTAGGTCGGTGCCTGGGCCAGGCTGCGCCTGTGCCAGGCTACGCCTAGTGGGACACCATCAACTTAGCAAAGGCAAGTTGTTGCCAAAGTGGTCCTGGGTGTCACCTATTTGTTCTGAGGTGCCAGGTGCCATAATGTCATTGGAGGGCTAAATCCGCCCTCATCAACAACAATAGATGGGCCAATGTGTGGCCATTCAAGCTAGTAAAACTTATATTTAAAAGCCATTTTTTATCAATAAAATGACGGATAACACAACTATAACTTATGTTAAATTTAGAAGTCCATATTTAAAAATAATTGCAACTTTAGATTTGATAAAATATAAATTAAATTTTGTTTATATGGATAAAAAAATTAAAGCATTTAACCTAATAGTATTCACATAAACTTTTTTAAATTGTTACATAACCATTTTTCAAGTTTAATATCTTCATCTAACAAAAATGGTTGTTCAGCATGTATAATGCATTTTGGTATTATTGTCTCATATTTTTTTTTTCTTGAGAATGTTTAAAAGTGTCATAGCTAAAGCTTTTTTTTTTCTACATTTTTGGCAAATAGTTATTTTTCCCTTCCCCTAAACCTCCTATACTTTAATTTTTTTTCCAAATTGGGCTAGGCTAATCAACTTAGTGACATTCATTTTATTTTCCTTAGTATCAGTATTGTGGGTGAAAGTTCTGTGAATATCAACAACATCCATATCGATGCTAATACTATCATGTTGTGACTGAATATCGTTGACATTGAACACGTTGGGGAATTGGTTTTGGGAGGAGCCATCATTTTTTTTTAATTCAAAAAACAATAAAAATTAATTTAATTGCACTTATCCGGATTGTCGGTTCAAAATCCCAACTTGATTTCAACAATTGAAACATTTAAACTCTAAGAGTCCAAGCCTCCCAATTTGCTAACTTGAGATATTTGAACTGTTAAGCAAGCATTTTTTCTTGAAGAAACTTCAATAAAGTTGAGAATTGGAGAATTATAGAATGCATAAGAGATTGAGACTTGAGAGAGTACGAGAGCTAGAGAAGATATCAGGAGAATTGTTGAATTTGCGTGATCATAATGGTCGAGGATAAGGCTATTTATAGGAATTGAAAATAATTCAATTGCCTAAAATATTATAAAAACTAGTTATTTTTAGTTATATAGAGGATTATTTTGATCATTGTAAAGTTATTTATCACTTTACCCAAAATGCCCCCAAAGTAGCTATTATATAGTTGTTGGGTGGCATATGTGTCATTCTTTCTCTCATAAAACAAAAATACATAAATACCCCCTATATAGTTGTTTATGGCTATTAATGGGTAATTCTTTATAAAACCCTCCAAAAAGTTTAAACTAGCCATTCGGGATCAAGCACGGGCCAAACTCTGTTGATTACGGGCCTGCGGGCCATGCCGCAAGTGGCATGTTGGACTTGGCACAACCCACGTGCTGTCATGCCATGTTGTGTTGCGCCATGGGCGGCATGATCCGATTTACACCCTTAGACACGTTAACCCATTTATGCCCATGTCTATATTTTGGTCAAAAGGAAATAGGGGCAATTACTATTTTACCCTTTTCATCCGAAAAAACGCTCTATGCATATACCCTGAAATCATAGAATCAAGTCGGTACCATCGTTTTTTTTTTTAAACCATGAACCAAAATCAAACTGAAATCAATTGGTTAACGGTTGATCGGTTTGATTTTCGATCCATTCGGTTCTTCAACTTTTTTTTGGATTTCTTTGTTTATAAAGTATTTTATAAATATATATTTCTTTATAATATATAGATAATATAAAATATTTAACTGCCGTTTTTTCATATTACTGATATCTTCCATTTTTCAAAAATAGCAAACCGAAATTACTGTTCGGTTAACCGGATTTTTTGAATCGGTTTCGTCGGTCGTTCGGTTTTTCGGTTTTTGAATGAACACTCCGCCCTCGTATGTCGTATCGAGAAGAAGAGATGGCGATAGACGATAGATGCACCCATCCAACGTGTCTAAGGTAACCGGATTACCGGAAGGTACTGGGTCAATCTCAGTCCATCACGCGTATTACGAGTGTTACTGTGGCATCAACTAAGAGAGAGTAAAATTGCTTCATTGACGCTTGCTTTTCGCCTATCAGTAAGGTCTCTGAGAAGAAAGAAGCAGAAGAGGGATTTGATTTCCCGCGATTTGCTGTAGGAGGGAAAAGATGATGTCCGGCGGCTATACCAGTCTCGACAAGGACAACGAGAAAATTTCTGGATCAGTACTTGTAATTCATCCTCCATTTTAGCCACGCAATTCTCTACTCGGTTCTTCTTTAGCCTTCCACGTGTTGTTCCTAAAAAATCTTCAGATCTCGCTTACCGATTTTCTTCTATTTGCAGGCGGCTTCAGATCCTGCTCATGTGACCGTCAAATTCGCAGGTTAGGGTTACGGTCTCGCAATCTTCTTTCTCTTTTCCTTGAATTTGTCTACGCGAAATTTTCTCCGTTATCTGTAATTATTTTTTATTATATATTTATAGTTATGATACGTGGATGCAGAGTCGAATCTTCAGACGTTTCCACCTTCCCAAGCACAGGGGAAGATCACCGGTGGATTTCAGCCGCCTCGCGATGCTGATGGTGCGCATTTCACTTCTTCGATGAATATAAAAGTCCTTACTTGTTTTTCTTTAGCTGAACTCTTTACTCTTTGGAGAGATTATGTGTAATTCTTGTTCATTGATCCTCATGAAGACCAGAATCCAAAATTACAAAAGAGATCCAATTCTTCATTTAATTATCTAAATAAACGTTTGATGATTCCTTGATTCATTTGCGGGTTCTCTAGTTGTATCCGGATGTGTAGATCTATAGGAATAGTTGGTTTGACCCTCTAGGATGACGCACGCACTTTGTTTCTCATTCAAATTCAATCAGCTGCGTTGTAATATGGGTGGTTTTGAGCTTCGGTCGTGCGTATTCGCAGCAATACCCCCCTCCCCCCCACAAAAAAAAAAAAAAAAACTCGAAATAAGGAACTCCGAACTTGGATAATAAGATGCTTAGATGCTTTATTGGTTACTCGCCGTTCAATTAACCTTTAAAAATTTCAAAACTTTTATGTATACATGTAACTCCACAATCTAGTGGTTAGTCGTTGAACTCTGCACATTGCACAAGATCCTGGGTGGGCAGATCTACCTAAATTGGTTCGTCAAGGTGGTTGTCTAAATTGGTCATGAACGTGCTAAGATAAGGGCTTTGGATTGGTTATGCAAGAACCGTGGATCACTTTGATAAGTCTCTTTTATTTTTTGGTTTCTTGAACTGCTGTTATGTGTCAAACATGAGAATGCTGACTTGTAACTAATGCTTTGCAGTTGTACATATTTAGCATTGTCCTCTCATAGACAACTACCACAATTCCACTATTTTTTAGCACTCGGAACTATTCTGTACCTCATCCTAATTTGTGTTGGTGTCAGATAGTCCAACAGTTTCTTCAAAATAACTCATATTATATTATAAGGATATGAATTTGTTTCTAAATACTCTGGGCTGAAACTACTGCTTTCTCCCTCTATGTGCTTTGCTTCACCTTTACTTGTGTAGTTTAAACTTTATGGAAAATGCACCTGGTATAAGGGGTTATGTCTTGCAATTAAGAAATGCCAATGTTGCTGAGAGTGGTTATAAAGTTACATGTGTCTAGCTTAAACTTACATTTTCTTACAAGGAATTTTATGGATATCTTCATCTTCCTATCAATTTGGAAAAACTTCAGTATAGCAGATCAATGGCCATTTTTCAGATCTTGTTGGATCCTAAGTCACTCTTCAAAATCAAGAGAAGATCTGCCACAGCTAGTCCATTTTTAAATTGAGAAGATATTTTCTTTTCTATTTTATTTTATTATAATGTAAGTTGGGCTTTTTAATCTTTATCTGTCAAGAGGGCATTGTGTTTCTACAAATAGTTATATTCTTATTTCCCAAGCCAGTGAATTAATGCTGCTTTTGGTGGACAAATTGCATTAAAACTTGGGTTAGGTATTATGTCTTCCTTTCCTTTTTTGGTTATTCTTTTTTTATCTATGTAATTTTCATTATCACCATGTCGTTGGTCATATCTAGGAATTGCAGCTGCTTGGTTGGTGATTGATAAGGGAGGCCAAGGGATAGGGCTTGTTGAAAGAGAATTGGGAAAAAAGCTTGAAGAAGAAAGAGGGTTCGGAATGGAAGAAAGGATTGAGTGGTTTGGGTAGTGATGACAATGACCTTGGCTTCTTTCTTCTCTTGATTTCTTCTTCAGAAAGGAAAAAAAATTCCAAAAGAAAATTTCGAGGCCATTTTCGCTATGCTTCTTTTCCACATTAACTGTCTTGACAAGCAAAAATGTACAAATTGTGTGTTCATCTAACTTTATCTCCTGCTGTAGTTTCTATGCCACAGAATGCAATCATAAAATTTTGTGCAACCACCTACCCTATCAAATTATCACTTGCATTCAATCTTCTGAAAAGAATCAGAAGATCTTCTAGAATGATTTGACAAGTTAGATAATGGAATCACTGTTCTTCTGTGCATAGCTGGAAAGAGTATAGGATTAATAGGGATTGAATTATAAAGTGATGGTTTAGCATTATATTTAGCACTTTTGGGGGGATTTGAGTTGAGATCTATGGGGGTTGGCAGTTGGTTACAGAGGGTGATTATGGATTCTTATTGTGATATAGGCATGTTGGGGGAAGAGTAGTGTGGTCAGTCATTAGCTAGTTAAAGACTAAATGGGGTTGTTGTAGATGAAACAATCCAGGTCCAGCTGGGATATGAAAAATTATTCTCAAGGCAGACAGATGCATATTTTTGGTTTTTAGTAGCCCCATTGACAATGCAGATTCTAAAGAAGCAGAAGTTAGGCCTCATATAATGGGGATCACATTATCAATCAAGCAAGCCTCATTGTTTGCCATTGAAATTGACTCTTCAATGCCACAGTGGTATCAAGAAGTGGGGCTCAAGCACACATACTTAAAGGAAGTCTGGAAACTGGAAAGCTTGGAAAGTTTGAGTGCTCAGGCTAGATGAATTCATAGGGAGATAACTCCAAAGCTGATGTGTGTGTGTGCTGGTAGCTTTCTGTTGTAGGGGAGTTGCTTGTTTCTAGTTCATGTAGTAGTGCACATTTTTCTCATGTACAATATACATATATATATATATTATATATATAATTAATAACTGGAATTCATTAGATTAAAAGAATTACAGCACTCCAAAGATAAAAGTTACAGAACAGCCCTCTCATTAGCATATTTCCAAAGTTCACTACCTTCTTGTAATCAACATAAGACCAGCTTTGAGTCCCCTTCAATGACTAACTTTTGTATATTCAGTTCCTTAGACTTCCTTATACCCTCCAGTACTGCATAGACATCAGCTTTGAGAGAGTCTCCAAACCCAATGGAACCTGAATACAAAGCGAGTACCTTCCCATCCTCATCTCTGAAACCCCCTCCTACACCTGATGGACCTGGATTTCCCTCAGTACTTCCATCAAAGTTTAGCTTTATAAGTCCACTTCCTGGTGGCGACCACACAGGACGGCAGAATTTTCTCATGTACGATATTGGCCTACTGCTTTTGAATATGTAAGAGAAAAGAGTCCTTCAAGCAAGCTCTAACAGCAGTGCAAATAAAACTGGACTTTAGTCAAGTAAATATTCCTCTTTTGATCAGTAGTGGATCAATTTATCTTTCTCTATTAGAATTTCCTACTTATATAAACTAATACAAAGCCAAGTGAATCCCAATAAGGCACTCTAATTCCATGACAAACATCTAAGGCTTTATAAGACTAAACTAGATTTATTTTCACCAGAATTGAGAATGCATTGCCTACCTTTAACTCCTTGTTACTTCATGTCGTGGATATAATCCCCCTAGCTTAGTGATTAAAAAAGATATAATCCCCCATGACTTCTTTTGGTATGGGTCTCATTTGTTTTTGGGGTTTGCTTGTTTTTGTTTTTGTGTTGTGTGCTCTCCTTATATGTCCTAAGAAGTGATAATTTTAGGGTTTGCTTGTTTTTGTTTTGTGTTGTGGCAAGAAATAGACTACAAGGGCTCAAGGACTTGAAGAGGTTAAAGGGGAAGATAAAATGTTGGAACAAAGATCTTTTTGGAAAAGTGGAGGAGTCTCAGGAAAGAATTACCTCAAGGATAGAAGAATTGGATAAGAAGGAAACACTTGGGATTTTTAGTGGGGAGGAAAGGTGGAGTCTGAAGTGTGAGTTGGAAGAAGTTCCAAGGAAGGATGAAATTTCTTGGAGACAAAAATCTAGGTGTAAATGGCTCTTGGAAGGGAATGGTAATACAAAATTCTTTCATTCTTTAGCCAATAGTAGAAGGAAATAAAACCAAATTGCTAGATTAGAAGTGGATCGACAAATGTTAACTAGGGAGGAGATAAGGTGTTCGTAGACCATTTTAAGGGTATTTTTTGAGCTTAGGGGAGAGGAGCTTTGCCTTTCTAGATCTTGAGTGGGATAAAGTGCCTACAGCCTGGCAGAAGCCTTGAAGAATGCCTTTATCTTTGAAAAAATTAGAGAGGTTTTTTTGATGGAAAGGTCAAAAGCTCCAGGACCAGATGGTTTCTCCATGGCCTTTTATCAAGAGTTTTGGGACTTTATCAAGGGAGATTTGTTGGAAGTCTTCAATGAGTTCTATTTTGAAGGGGAAATCTCCCAATGGATGAACTCAACATTTATTGTCCTAATCCCTAAGGAGGCAAAAATACCAAAGGATTTCTAACCAATAAGCCTAATGGGAAGTCTCTATAAAATTATAGTAGAAGTTTTAGTTGGGAGGGTGAAGAAGGTACTACCTTTGGCAAGCTCACAATATCAAGGAGCCTTTGCTGAAGGGAGACAGATTATTGATCAAATTTTGGTGGCAAATGAATGTGTATTAGAGAATAGGAAAATGAGGGGTTGGGGGCTAGTGTGTAAGTTGGATCTAGAGAAAGCCTATGATTTTGTTGATTGGCAGTTCCCCCTTAAAATACTAGAGAGAGTTGGTTTCGAAAAGAGATGGAGGATGTAGATAAAAGGTTGCTTAAGCTTAGTGCATTATTCAATCCTAATAAACGGGGTGGCAAGAGATTTATTTCTAGCAAAGAGAAGGTTGAGATAGGGGAATCCTTTATTTCCTTTCCTTTTCACCTTAATTGCAGAATTTCTTAATAGGATGATTTTGAAGGCTGATCATATGAATTTGCTTAGAGGTTGGAGGGTCGAGAGGCTAGAGGTGGTAGACACACATTTGTAGTTTGTGGATGCCATCGTTTTCTTTTGTGAGGGAGGCAAGGCAACCAAGAAATCATAAGAAATCTAAGAGAGCTCATACATTCCTTCAAATATGTTTCTAAGTTGAAGGTGAATTGTGGAAAGAGTTGTATAGCAGGGATTAAAGTGGAAGAAGAAGAGCTAAGAGTGCTGACTAGGATTCTAGGGTGTGAGGTAAAACAATGGCCATTGGAATATCTAGGACTACCTCTGGGGGGGACCCACGATCATATTTTTTTGGAAATCGGTGGTAGAAACTAGAAAGGTTCACTAAGAAGCTGGCTTTACAGAAAAGGAA